GGAGACGAAATGGATATACAAAATCAAATCTTTGACCCCAACAGGCCACAACGTTGACATTGACAGCAACTGCTTTATAGATAACAGTTGATGCCAGATGACAATCTAATGCTGACTATCTACACTGTGTATATCCACTTTCCCCCTTTCTTTAAGTATGTTGTTTTAATCATGGAGAATATTAATATTTGGGAGAATTACATGACATTGAAACCATATCTTTAGGTCTATATATATATTGCACTTTATATGCTGGGTTGTAACAGCCTGTTTATGATTTTATGTAATGTATTTTATATGGGAGTTCATAATGGTTTATGTGTATATGTCGTTTTCAGTGTAACAATGTATTGAGATTTATGTACGAGTTATATTGCATTTACATGTATGAGTATATGGGTAATGCCCATGCATACATGTATTAAAGAGGGCATCCATGTGCCTCATTATATAATTCTCAATACTATATGTATATTAGTTCACTATTTGAACCATTAGAAGGCACTACACATTTTACTAATGGTTCGAAATACGCCGGTGGTTTAACGTTTATAAGGTTGTATATGTGATGTTTTATATTATTTTATATTATGATATGTGTCCTATTTTACTATTGCATGTATTTACATTGTGATATGTTTATTAAGTTATTGGAAGTAATCTTCCTAAGATTTAAATCTTTTTAATTTTTAATATTTAACATTTTAGTGCCCATTAATATATTTTGCTCAATTTATTGGTAGTGACATTTGTATGACAATTTAAGTGTGGTCAATTTAGATCTGTACCATTGCCTGTAAGGATATGGCGATCGTGCTTTTGTATGCACGTACGGTGCATGAGTATTGACCTTGTGTCGATCTATTAGAAAATGGTGGGTGCAGTACTACGCACACGCCCTCATATAATCTACAGACGCATTGAGATAATAGATTGATCTATAAGAAAATGGCGCCCGTGCTCTTTGCGCGTGCGCACATTCGCGATCACCGGTAAGATGGTGCCAGCTAATTTCCTGCGCCGATTAATATTCATTATGGGAACAGATTGGTCTACAAGAAAATGGTGCAGACGCTCTTGCGAATGCGCACACGCGCGAGCGCCGACAAGATGGCGCTGGCTAATTTTCGCGCGTGACAGCAATCTATATAAGAGCACACTTAGACGTCTGGCGATTATGGCAGCACCCCTTATGAGGACGTATTCGCATACTAAATGCGTCAGGGAGGAGCCCATACACGCCGTGACGTCACGCCGCCGGATCAGGGAGGTTCGGTGGCCATTTTCCAACTCCAGCTTACATTTAGCAGTACTGCTTCAATTTATCTGCATGATACCTAGGATTTATCCACTTTATTTTATTCTGTACGTGTAATACATAATATTTTAACTTCATTATTCACAATAAATATTATGGAATACTACACTATGGGAATCCATCTTCTTTGCTCTGTGCCGAGCAATTAAATCCATCTAGGACCCCAGGTGCACCACCAGGATCGCAGGAGGGAACCAGTGACTAGACCCCACTGCAGTTCACCTGTTCCAGGACGTCTAGGAGGGATCCATTCACCAACTGGAGTCACAGAGAAGAGGATTCTGCTCCAGGCTGTACCCTCAAGGGAACCCCTGCTCGTGGTTCATTTGATCTTTGTGCATTAAGATTGCGCTTCCGGTGAGTGGCAATTTTTTCTATATTCACCTTGATCGTACGCCACCGGATTTCAAGATCTATATATACATGGGGAGATATTTATATTGGTCCATCGTTCACCAGTGGGGTTAATCACTACCACCTGATTTGCTATTCTGGACAATATATTGTTTATTGTATTTGAATCTTATTTATGAATGGTTCATTATTTCTACATCATATTGGTGATTGTTTGTTTAGTGCTGCACTACGTTTATGATTGAAAGAAACAGCTGAGCTGAAAACCTCTGGACTTAATTTATTCAGATCTTTGTGGTCCAATGGAAAAATTGACTCGAGGAAAGAGGTATTTTCTACACTATATCTGTTACACAACAAAATTGAAAATACCAGAGAAACTTGAACAGTATTTGGCTCAAGTAAGCAACAAGTTTGGAAAAATGCCGAGTGTATTGTGCACAGACAATGGGACTGAATATACAGGTGATAAAACAGGCGATTCTCAGAAAGCATGGCACAATATTTCAAACTATTGTATCATACTACCCAAAACAAAAACAAGGTTGCAGAAAGAATGAACACTATGTGAGAGTGGAAGAACCATGCTGTTTGATCCAGATATACCAACCACATACTGGGGGAGGCAATTATGACCGCACTCTATCTCCAAAATCGACTACCAGGAAAATCAACTGAGAAAACTCCATATGAACTGTGGAATATAAAAGTCCTGAATCTGAACCATCTAAACATTTTTGGAAGCAAAGCCTATGTGCATATTCCAAAAGAAAAACTTATAAAATGGAATGCTCACGCAAAGGAATGTATACTTGAGTACAGTGATTCCCAAAAGAGATACAAAACTCTACACCAGGACACACACAAGGTAACCATCAGTAGAAGTGTATTTGTCGATTAAACTTCAGTGTGATCACAATTTCATGAACAAACACAAACGCTTAAAACTGAAGGAAATTCCACATCAGTGTCACATGAAGATAAGCAACAAAGTGACACAGAAACAGAAGTTACTGCAGACAATCCAAACATTGTAAAAGAAGAAACCAGGCCACAAGAGGCTTCAATCTGGAAATCCACCAGAAGCATTAGAGGCATCCAAAATCTGTCCTATGTTGCTCGTGTAGCATTAAAACTAGAGCCAGATTCATGGGATGAGATGCAAAGACTTCCAACCCCGGAGAAACAAAAGTGAAACAGAGCATTTGGCAAAACTGCTTACAATAATCAGACTTATAGAACTGAGATCCAAATTGGGACTAAAATAAGGAGTAGTTGTTGAGTGGGGGAGTTAGAATACATTGTTCATGTATTTTGTGTGCAACAACTACATTAGCCAGTAGTGGGGCAGTGTTTATAAGTTTGTAGCTGCATCTGTGATAAAACTTTGCTTTTTCTCTATAATAAAGTTCCTGTTTCCTGTTCACAGAGAAGCAGTAAATAAACACATGCGGACTGTGCACTGTCTGTTCTGTAGGACTGTTCTGTAGGACTGTATACAGAATCTCTAATAGGTATAACCCCTGTCAGCTTTTTGACATCTGGATCCAATTGGGGTGATTTAACTTCACTTTCTGTCCTGAAACTGTGTGCAGGCATCCTATGTTACTCTATGGGGACAAAGCAGTTGTACGCACATAGCCTTAGGTCATAATTTAACAGGCATGTGGGTGCAGGTGTACAGCCCCGAACACAGACAGTGTGCATCCAGAGCTATTCACCCATGCCTGCACACCTGCCAAATTAGATCCTGTGGCTGTGTTCGTACAGCCACTGCATACCCTTAGAGTAACAGGCGGCTCCAGTTACAATCCACACATTCACATGGCCAGACTACCTGTGTAAATTAATTCTTAAGACTCATTCACATGTAAGGTTGGGGGGTAAAAATCTCATGGTTGAGCTACACTTTACCCCCTACCAACCACTACCCCCTTTATTAGAGGCGGTGGCTAGGGGTGTACCCATGCCATGACCATAATGCTATGCTTTTGCCATAGCAGACGTTATACCCCTGTTGAACAAGTAATTCAATTACCCATTCAAGTAAATAGTGGGGTTAAAGCAGGTGGTGAGGAGGCAAAATGCCTCCTTACCACCTGTCAAGTCCTTCATTTTTTTAAATTATTTTTTAGAATTTAAATTTTTTTTAAATTTTTTAAGAATTTTATTTATTTATTTTTGCATTTTTTAACTGCCCTGTTGGGGGGCCTTGGTGAAATATCAGGGGTCTAAACAGATTGAGAGAGGATAAGATGGAAATATTTAGAGGAAAGTGGAGTAGGTGGTATGATTGTAAAACATCGGGACAATATTTAAAAATGAGGGGTGATTTGGTAGTAGAGTTGGAGAATCAAAATGGTTAAACGGATCTATAGAAATGGGTTGGCTAACACGAGGGGTAAGAGAAGTAATGTTTGAAATGGGCAAGGGCTTTTTGGTTTTTTTTTTTTTTAGGGGGAGGGTAGTAGGGTCTGGGGGGGGGGGGGTGTAAATGGGGGTAAAGAGGGTGTATTTGATGTGATAAAGTTATATTATTGTTATTTGTATTGTGTTTTTGTCGTTTCTAAAGAAAATTAATAAAAGATATAATATAAAAAATAAATAAATAAACAGATTGAGAGAGGAACTGAGGACATAAATTCATCAGCCCCTTTCTCTGCAGCTTCAGCTTCACAGATGAATGAATAGACTTTGAGGCTTCCTGTTCATTCATAAACTGTGTGATGAATGGACACAGGAGCAATTGGTACCAATTGCTCACTGTATCCATTCAGGAAAGAAAGGGGTCGGTAAATATGACATATTCCCCCACTCTCCATCCTTAAACAAAAGGGATAGGAGGGAAGCTGGCAAAGCTGTGGGGGAAAGGGCAAACAGGAGGGCCTGGACATCAATCCCGCTGCAGGCAGGCAATGGGAGGGAGAAGAGGAGAAACCAGCAGCCCTACAGGGTGAGTCTGAAGAGAATTGGTGTCTGCAATCAAGCAGTAGAGCTGATCTACCATGCTCAGCAGGTTCCCTGGCATCGTTTTGGAGCTGTTGGGTCTTGGGCCCGGTACAATAGGGCTGGCTGTACTGCCTTATCAACCACTCTGCCTAAGGGTATGGAAAGTTTAAATTGTGTATATTGTTTTAGGTATAAATATAATATATACTGTATCTGTTCACCGTTCAGTTTTTTTTTCTCTTTATTTTCCAGGGATAACTGTGAATGATACTTGTCCTTTTATTTTTAGGTGTATTTTTATTGGCTTTGCCGTGATACTTATGCTTTTGAATGGTTTGCTGACCTGCTTCAGTCTTTAGAGGAGCGAATGTCAGAACAAGGCAAATTCAATTTCCTTAGTTATCATCTTTTCCTCACTGGCTGGGATGATAATCAGGTAAAACATTTGTGTCACTGTCTATTTATTTTTGTGAAAAAAAAAAAAAACTGAATAAAAAGATACACAAAATGAAAACAAAAACAAAAAAGGATAGAAAATGGTTTTTTTTATATTGTTTTTTTTCTTTGTATTTTGATGTTATTTGCCTTTATTGCGCATGAAGAAATAATAAGATAACATATTGGAAGAAACAAAACACAAAATACAATAAAAAGTTTAAAAAGAACACAAAAAAAACCTCTAGAAACCCATTAAAGCCCAATTCTACCCTTAAAACCAACCAATGAAAATCACAAATACCAGATTTTAAAATTGTGACCAAAATTTGAGTGAAGTAAAAATGGAATTTTTCCATCCTTAATTAGGAGAGAGGGAGACTGCTGCTTCAGTGGTGTGGTGTTGAGTACTCTCAGCAGCATCTATATTTTACTGTATAGGACTAAGAAAATACTTTTCACTGTGGGGAAAAGATGGCATTCTGTACATTGTTCTCTTGCGCCATACTTCCAATCTATTTACACAATTTTGACTTTTTTCACTCTGGCAAAAACCATTAGTGATTTTCCTAGTCTATCATTTTCTCACTCACTGGGCTAGTAGCCCTTTGGCCAAACTCTCAGCCTAGGAGACTATTCTTTGTTTGCTTGCTGTCTGCAAATACACAGCACATATTCCTCAAGAAGAGATTTAATATGGTACATACATATGTTTAACTAGCAAAAAATTGATCCATTGAGTATAAAAATAAAAATAAAGGCGAGTTAATAAACAAGAATTCCCTATAGCCCTGGCACTAATTCATACATTTGTACCTCCTTCATTCCCTTGGCTGGTTGCCTGCACAACACATTTTATTTACTATTCATTACCACGAGAATAACCCAGGCTATTAACTTATAATGATACTAATATAAATACTTTGGCAAGCTCTGAACATTAAGATGTTGGTGAGAAAAAAAAAAGTGGTAGCTGTGAGCTGAATGCAGATAATTCCAATTCGCGGGCAATCCACTTCTTGGGAAGTTTAATCTTCTACAATGTGTGTATATAATATTTTAGTTCATTATTAAAGTATTTTGAATTGAAAGTTCTGTTGTTATCATATGTCTATTTTAGGTTAAGCATATAGTTCTTCACTATGATAGTGAACTAGACGTGATTACTGGCTTAAGACATAAAACAAATTATGGAAGACCCAACTGGCATAAAGAATTCAGGTGTATAGCAGACAAGCATCCAAGGTAAATCATATTTTGTCATTTTATATAGGTATACAGTATATTTTAGTTTTTCTTTGCCAGGATCGCTGTCACAGTGTAGTACTTTGCATACATTTAGGGGACACAAAAATGTAACAAACCAAATCAATTTATTTAGATGTTTAGTTTTAAAAACAGGGGAAAAGTCGCTTTAAAGTGCATGTATAGATTTTTTTTAGTTTTGGATAGAGTAGGGAACATTTCAAACTTCTGGCAGATTATCTTCTGTCTGTAAGATTGGGGAAATTTCACTCACTTCCTGTCCCAAAGACACAACAGGAAGGTAATAGAAATCTCCCAAAGGGAGTAGAATTCCTCTTTTAGGCTTGCCAAACACATTGATTGATCAAATTTAAATTAGTGTGGGCCACTCCAGGACCTTAATGTACTTCTTCATGAGCTACTCCTTTGTTGCCTTGGCTATGTGTTTTGGGTCGTTGTCATGCTGGAACACCCATCCACGACCCATTTCCAATGCCCTGGCTGAGGGAAAAAGGTTCTCACCCAAGATTTTATGGTACATTGCCCCATCCATTGTCCCTTTGATGCGGTGCAGTTGTCCTGTCACCTTAGCAGAAAAACACCCCCAAACCAGAATGTTTCCACCACCTTGTTTGACAGTTGGGATGTTGTTCTTGGGGTCATAGGCAACATTCCTCCTCCTCCAAACACGGCAGTTGAGTTCAGTTGATGCCAAAGAGCTCAATTTTGGTCTCATCTGACCACAACACTTTCAAATAGTTCTCCTCTGCATCATTTAGATGTTCAGTGGCAAACTTCAGACGGGCCTGGACATGTGCTTTCTTGAGCAGAGGGACCTTGTGGGTACTGAAGGATTTCAATCTTTGTCAGCATAGTGTGTTACCAATTGTTTTCTTGGTGAATGTGGTCCCAGCTGCCTGGAGATCATTGACAAGATCCTTACGTGTAGTTCTGGGATGATTCCTCACTGTTCTCATGATCATTGACACTCCACGAGGTGAGATTTTGCATGGTGCACCAGACCTAGGGAGACTGACAGTTGTTTTGTGTTTCTTCCATTTGCGAATGATTGCACCAACTGTTGTCACCTTCTCACCAAGCTGCTTGGCAATAGTTTTGTAGCCCAGTCCAGCCTTGTGTAGGTCTACAATCTTGTCCCTGAAATCCTTGAACAGCTCTTTGGTCTTTGCTATGGTGGAGAGTTTGGAATCTGATTGTTTGATTGCTCCTGTGGACAGGTGTCTTTTATGCAGCTAACAAAATGTGATTAGCAGCACTCCCTTTAAAAGACTGCTTCTAATCCCAGCTTGTTACCTGTATGAAAGACACTTAGTAGCCAGAAATTCTGCTGAATGGTAGGGGATCAAATACTTATTTCCCTTGTGAACATGCAAATCAGTGCATAATTTGTTAGACATGCATTTCTTTTGAATTCTTTGTTGCTATTCTGTCTCTCTAAGTGTTGCAATACTCCTACCATTCGATTTTTAGACTGATCATTTCTTTGTGAGTGGGCAACATTCAAAATCAGCAGGGGATCAAATACTTATTTCCTTCACTGTATATAGCGCCAACAGTTTGCTCATCGCTTTACAATATAACGGGAGACAATATAGCAACTATACAGTTCAATACAAGAGGGATAGGAGGGCCCTGCTCCTTGGAGCCTTACAATCTAAGAGGGAGGGGGAAATTCAGATTAAATATTTTAAAATTTTGGAGAAACAAAAACAGTTAATTTCATTTATTCTTGATGTGATACTATTTTTTAAATACATTATGTACAGTACACACCTATCAACAGCCTTGTAGAGCACATTTCTCACTATCCTCTTTAGTTATGGCTTTATGTACAATAGTAGAGTACTGGGTACAATTTAGCATCTGCATGCTCATGGAAAACAACTGTACCAGTTACTGATATCCAGAGGCTGACTGACCATTTGGAAACTTGGGCACTGCCCGAGGGCCCGGGGTCAGTTGGGGCCCCATGAGATGCCCCTGGTACCTTTTTCATAGGCTTTTTTGAGTTTGGGCAAAGACACAGGGGCCCCATGATCCCCTATTGCCCAGGGGCCCCATGAGTTGTCAGTCCGCCCCCGCTGATATCTTCAACAGATAAACTACTTTTTACATTTTTCCTTTTGGAGGTAATTTTAAAGCTCTTACATCATTGGTTGTTAATGATGTTTGGTATATGTATTATTACCATACTATTACCTATACATATTATACAGCATATGTGTGCATGCATAGGTGTACAAATGACAAGTACATATAGTACATAGAGTGACCCTACCCATATGGAAGAAAAATATATCTGAAATATATTTAAAAAATGTTATTCCCAAATATATTGACATATATTTGAAATGCTACAATTGCGGCCATATTCAATATATTTATATAAATATATACATATTTATTTATTGAAATATATTTTTAAATATATTGAATATGGCCAAAATTGTATATATATATACTACATGTTGAAATGTGTTTTTTATATATTACAAAATATATGAAAAATATTTTTTAAAATTTAATTTTTTTTAAATATATTCTTCATATTTTTTTTAACATAAAAAAAGTAATTTTAACATATATTTTTACATATATTTGTAAATGCATTCCAAAAATGTAGATCTGTATTTTTATATTTGAAATTTATTTTTAAAAATATATTTCATATATTTTGTAATAAATATTTTAAAATTTTACGCATTTCAACATGCAGTATATATATATATATATATTTATTGAAATATATTGAATATGGCCAAAATTGTAGCATTTCAAATATATGTCAATATATTTGGGAAGTATATTTTTAACATATATTTCAAATATATTTTTCTTCCATGTGGGTATACTGAAGAGTATGGAATCTGTCACACATAGATATGGATATATCCAGAACACATTTGAAATTTGTCAATAACCTGAGGTGATTGTAGCCGTATTAGTGCATTTGCGACAGAAATAATTTAGTACTGTCCGTGATTTTTTTTTTATTTGCACTAACAATTTTGAGGACAAGCTTTCGGGGAGTGTCCCCTTCTTCAAGGTCCAAGCAGTACTATACAAATCACAAAGTTTAGCAGAATGTTAGAAGAGATGAAAAAAAAAAAAGAGGCTAGGGATAAGACACAGCAAAAGCAAAGGGGGGGGGGGGGGATACAACACTCACACAGAGCTAGAAGGGATAAGAAAAATAATCAGATTTACAACCCATCATAACAGAGGGTGGAACTCTGAAAGAAATATTCCAGCAACCCCCAATACTGGCCTTCAGACAACCCCCCAACCTCAGAAATAAACTAATCAGTAGGAAACTTCCTTCTGATTATGATGTCACAAATAATGGAAGCAAACCCTGCAATAAAAAACGCTGCAAACTGTGCACCCAAATCAATCCATCAAAAGTGTCAGACACTCAAAAGGGATCTTCAATATCTCCGGATCATACAACTGCACCTCTAGTAATGTTGTGTACCTTATCCAGTGCAGAAAATGTAACAAAGGATCTTATGTTGGCGAAACAGGACAGAAGTTGCAAACAAGGATGAATTTGCAGAGACATACCATCAAGGAACATAAAGAAGATGACTTCTGCACATCTGTGGGACACCATTTCGCACAACCAGACCACACAATGGGAGACCTCAATATTTTAGTTCTTAAAGGAAATTTAAAATCCATTCAGGAAAGAAAAACTTTTGAACTAAGAATGATAATTCTATTTGACACAAGAGATAACGGCCTGAATTTGGACATGGGATTCCTCAACCATTATCCGACAGTTTTATGACTATCAGCCCAAGCTTGACTCCCTCTGTTGAGTGTTGTTTCCCCCCCCCCCCTCCTTTGCTTTTGCTGTGTCTTATCCCTAGCCTCTTTTTTTTTTTTTTTCATCTCTTCTAACATTCTGCTAAACTTTGTGATTTGTATAGTACTGCTTGGACCTTGAAGAAGGGGACACTCCCCGAAAGCTTGTCCTCAAAATGGTATGTTAGTGCAAATAAAAAAAGTATCACGAACAGTACTCAATTGTTTTTTTGTCAATAACCTCTTACTTTATCTAAATAGTAAAGAGTGAATATTATTTTTTTTTCTTGACGATTCCTTACAAACTCAGAAAATATATAGAAATTTATGGGCATGCATTAGGATTCAATAGTTAGATTATTGGCAGTAAAAATCATCTGTGATAAACATAAGATTTGAATTGCTTAGTTGTTTTGACCAAACTTGGGATTTAAGTAATAGATTTCAAGCAAATAATTACAAAACGTATATAGCAATAAACAGTAAATTTACAATTGTTTCCATGTATTCATTAATAGTCTGTTATTAGTTTACTATTGCTTTGTTAATTATTATTACACTTAAATCTACACTTTTTTTTTCTATTAGTGACAACATTGGAGTGTTCTACTGTGGCCCAAAGTCTCTCTCCAAAATCCTCAATAATATGTGTCGTTTACATTCATCATCCGATCCCAGAGGAGTCCATTTCCATTTCAGTAAGGAAAGCTTCTAATGTGCCAGAGCACCGAGACTCACTAGAATCCCCTGAATGCTTTGTGAATGGGATGAATATGTGCAGTATATGGTTTGGTCCCATTTTTCTGTGAAAGCCATCAATAGATCTTGTTACCACCCTAAAATGCTTAAATGGCCTAAAGATCACCTGATCATTCAAAGGGCAACTTGAACCAATATTAACACTAGAACTGTAAACTGATTTCATAATCCACTTTAGCAAAATAAATATTTCACTAGAATACGGACTGATATGACTATTAATTATTACATAGTAATTGACTAATATTGATTTTTATGATATGACATGATTATTATATCTGATTAATCTTTTTTTTTTGGTTGAAAGCCATAATATTTTAGGGCACATATTGTACATGTGCCATGGCACACAGACTCATGGGTCTCCAACGGCCACGGGGGGAGCATACAGGTGTCCATGGCATGCAGGAGATGGATATGAGCGGCAGCCAGATGGCACATAGAGGAACCAATGACTGCACGGTCCTGTACATGCTGCCTGACCGTTTCTCCTATCCAGGCAGCGCTGGCCCACCAGGCAAATGCCCGGTGAGCCCTATGGCCAGTCCGGGCCTCATCTCCAACTTAGTAGATTCTTGAGTGTAGGTACGGTCTTGTTAAAAAAAAAAAAATCTCCTCCTGGTACACAATATACATTGCAGAGATTTTAGTGATGCCTTATACAGACTTGTACCTTTCTCTTTGGTAAAGAAAAATTGCTGTTTGTTTTCACCATGCCCTTTCTCAGACTTCTGAATCAGAGTGCTAACGTTTATTATAACCACAGTGCAATCTATGGGGTGGATGTACTAAAACTGGAGAGTGCAAAATCTAGTGCAGCTATGCATAGAAACCAATCAGCTTCCAGGTTTTATTGTCAAAGCTTAATTGAATAAGCTGAAGCTAGAAGCTGATTGGCTACCATGAACGGCTGCACCAGATTCTGAGTGCTCCAGTTTTAATAAATCTCCCCCTATGTGTAATGTAATGAGAATGTCTGCAGTGGCTGCATCCCTTTTAGATGAGAATGAGGATTGTTAAAGCATCTTATCAAGAAAGAGACTCCTTTTACAGGGAAGGCTATTGCCTTGATATGTTTTTCAGCATAGACTTCTGAGAATAGTGGTGAGTTAATCACGGAAGCAGAAATTACATTTATGGGGAGTTCTTTACACTCAGGGGTTGATTTACTAAAACCGGAGAGTGCAAAAACTGGTGCAGCTGTGCATGGTAGCCAATCGGCTTCTATCTTCAGCTTGTTCAATTAAGCTTTGACAAAAGCAGAAAAATGGAAGCTGATTGGTTTCTATGCAGAGGTGCACCAGATTTTGCACTCTCCAGTTTTAGTAAATCAACCCCATGGAGTGCAATCAAAGCTCCCAAGTGCTGTATTATAAGGGACCTTTGAATTATTTGGCAGTTCTAGAAAATCATAGAGACGGCAAACTGAAATAAAAAAGTATTATTAAACACATTCAATTACAAAATGGCTTGTCTAATAATTATATACATTGTGTCACTTTATAGCAACATAGTTTGACTATACTGTAAGTTGTATTGTAATACTTAGCTGTTAAATTAATTCTCGGTTAGATCCAACCAGCACGTAGGGTGAACGACTTATGCTTTTGAACACAGGTTCCAGTGTTTTTTCTAATATCAATATTTGGTGCAATGATTACCTGGTTTTAAATTGTTTTACAGTAAATATAGCTTTACGTTAGAATGATTGAGGCGCTTAACTTTTTTAAGATTTAATGATGTCACAGCTGAATCAGTAAGAAATTGCCACAATTTATGTTATATAAGTATACAAATATGTATTCATCCAGGTCATATCAGGGTTCTATAGCTAGGTATAGTTCAGCTTTATAAGCACAACACACTGTGTACAGAGATCGTACATTCAAAGTGTACCCAGTATGGAGGAACAGACAGAGACCGTGTAATTATAAATTGCCAAGACTTACATTGAAATTAAATTTCTATAATATATAACATTTAACAAAACAGGTATGGATGAAATAGAATGGGATATAAGTATATTAAGTAGAGGGGACCAATTAGGAAAATTGAGTAACTTTACTTTTAATTTTCCACCATATACTATAGTGTATGGTGGAATATTAAAAGTAAAGTTCCTCAATTTTCCTCACTGGGCGCACTATGATTTTTTATGTTTTAACAGAAATAGAGTGACAGCTTGTCATGTAGTCAGGAACATCTTGTGCTGAACGTACTTCCCATAGGTATCTATGGAAGGTGATTAAACCACAATTCACTACCCACACACATCTCCACAATGTTGGCGAAATTGTGGAGAAGTAGGAACCTTATACCATATCATTTGGTCCTGCAAATCCATCAAATCCTATTGGAACAGCATTTTCAAAATAATCTCAGAATTATTCGGTAAGTCAATAATTCCCTCTCCAGAATTGGCACTCCTAGATATTGACAGGTTTTCCATAGACCTCCGCACTATTATAATACACCTTCTCTACGCTGCTAAAAACCACATAACTAGCCTATGGAAAACCACAGAATCTCTGTCTCTAGCAAGACTGATTGCCAACCTCAATCTCCAATGTGAAATGGAATGGAGATTTTCTAACTTCAACTCTCTCATACCATAAATTCCACAAAGCCTGGCATATATGGGCACTCCACCCAAAAATTCACAACAAAAATTTGATGGCATTTACCTTTTTGGTTCTTGGAGTACTACTAGCAACTACATAATAATGGCTTTTACTGAATTGACTAGTTTGTTCAACTGTTTGTCTTTAAACCCATAACTATTATGGTTCCTCTCCCCCCCATCTTCTCCCTCCTCCTCCCTACGGTTCATACTGCCTTACATACTGTAGATGCTGTTTATGCAGCATCAGGAATATTTCTCTATGCTCATGTTTCATTGGGAACCTATGGTGGTCCATGTTATTGTCTACCCTGTTTTTACAAAAAAAAAAAAAAAAAAAATTCAATAAAATAAAAAGTTTAATATAAACTACAATTCACACTTTTTTTTTATTTATTATACATATATACAAACAACACAGTTTTTTCATTTTTTTTATTTATTTAAAAATTTAAAACATTTAGAAACTGAAATGGGCAATGCTAGTATCTTACATTGATACACATATTTGAAAAACAAAACAAAAATAAAGCTGCATTACATGATATCCAGTACCTCACAAGCCCTAGTGCTTCTGGGGAAAGCATTGACTTGTAGGGTAAAGTGTTCCATAAAAACAATTTTTTTTTGCTTCTAAAACAAGGGAAACTCTAAAGGCAGAGAGGTAAGAGGTTACAGTCCTAGACAACTCAGCTTTTGATTCAAAAGAACAATGACCCAGTTTCTAAATTCGTAGGTCTTAACACTTCTCTCCCTGATTACAGAAGAGCTACAGATGCAGCCAAAAGTTCAATATTGATTGGCAAGATCGTGTTGTAAATAAGTGGAATGTATTGTAATACACTTACTGAGTCCCTCTGCATCAGTGTTCAAATCAGCTTGCCTGGCAAACCCACCATCCACAACAGTCAGCATATTGTCATTAATATCTCCTAGGAGATGAAGAAAGGGAGTTATGTACACTTTGGTAACCTAGTATCTCTATAACATCTATAACACAATAGTTTTAATTGGTGCTGCAGATAATATACAGTTCTGTGAAAAAAGTATTTGCCCCCTTCCTGTTTGTTTTTTTTTTTTTTTTTGCGTATTTGTCACAGTTAAATGATTCAGATCAAACAAAACTTTAATATTACACAAAAATGACCTGGGTAAATACAAATTTCAGTTTATAAATGATTTAATTTATTAAGGGAAAAACGCAGTCTGAACCTGTCTGGCCCTATGTGAATAAGTAGTAAACATAATAACTGTTTGTGCCACCCTTGGCAGCAATAACTGCAATCAATTGTTTGCGATAACTGCCACTGATTCTTTCACATTGCTGTGGAGGAATTTTGGCCCACTCTTCTTATTAGCATTGTTTTTAATTCAGCCACATTAGAGGACTTTTGAGTATGAATGGCCTGTTTAAGGTCATGCCAAAACATCTCAATCGGATTAAATTTTTTTATCAGGCCACTCCAGATCCTTAATTTTGTTTCTTTTGAGCCAGAGGTGGACTTGCTGGTGTGTTTCGGATCATTGTCTTGCTGCATAACACAAGTGCGCGTTGAGCTTGAGGTCATGAACTGATGTCCATTCTCCATTCTCCTTCAAGATTTTCTGGTAGAGCCCAAAATTAAAGGTTACATCAATTATGGCAAGTCCTCCAAGTCCTGAAGCTGCAGAGCATCCTCAGACCATCACACTACCATGTTTGACTGTTGGTATGATGTTCTTTTTATGAAATGCTGTGTTAATTTTACACTAGATGTAATGGGATGCTCACATTCCAAAAAGGTCAACTTTTGTCTCATCAGTCCACAGAATATTTGCCCAATATTCAAGATGTTTTTTGGCAAATGTGAGATGAGCCTTTGTATTCTTTTTGGCCACAGCAGCTTTTGGCTTAGAACTCTCCCATGGTTGCCATTTTTGCCCAGTCTATTTCTTATTGTTGAATCATGAACACTGACCTTACCTGAGGCAAATGAGGCCTGGAGTTCTTTAGATGTTGTTCTGGGTTTGTTTATAACCTCCTGGATGAGTTGTTCTTGTGCTCTTGAAGTTATTTTCGTAGACGGCCACTCCTGGTAAGGTTAAACCACTGTTCCAAGTTTTCTCCATTTGTAGATAATGGCTCTCACCATAGTTCACTGGAGTCCCAAAGCCTTAGAAATGGCTTTGTAACCCTTTTCAGACTGATACATGTCAGTGAATGTACAATATATATGTAAAGCGCTGTGTAAATTGATGGCGCTATATAAGTACCTGTAATAAATAAATAAATTACTTTGTTTTTCATATTTCCATGATGGCAATTCTCATTATGGCATGATGTGTTGCTTTTTGAG